GTGAACATCCAAGGATGACGTTGCTCCCATTCTCAGCGCACACGTTGAAGAGGTCGGGGGATGGGTCATGGAGAAAAGGGAAAAGGACTGCAAGAGGGCAGGACAGAAGAACACTCACCCCGCCAACTCCGCCGCATTCTTGCAATGTCTTTCCGCGCGTAGGCTGAGCGTCTCGAGGCCCTGGATGAGCAGGAACGCCGCGAAGGGGTTGAGGCAGGGGCCGAGGTCGCGGAGCATCTGCGGGACGTGTCAGCGGTGTGTATGCGGAGAGACGAGCAGAGGGCAGAGAGGAGGGCATGTGTGTAAAGTTGTATCGGAGCGGGCACAGAGGGAGGCGAGACGGAGGCAGATGAAAGCAGCGCAGATCAAGGCAGAGGCGTGAAGATAGCGACGCGGTGATGAGGGGGAGCAGGCTACAACCGCCGCAAGGAGACAAGGCCCATTATGTGGGACACCCGCCCGCGAAACTACAGTCGTGCCAGCGTCTATGCCCCGCCACTCGGTGGGCGGCCGGCCCTTTACGCCACTCCCCACACGCAGGCCCTCTCCCGCGCCGTCACTTCCACACACCCACCACCTCTCTCCTTCTCCTCTCACATCCACACCCTTCAAAAAACTGAAGCAACGTATAGAACGCACCTCAACCCGCACCCGCACCGCAAACGCCGCGGCCCCAAACGCCTCGCTGAAGACGAGCCCGTGGTACCCTTCTGCGGGGTCCGTGAACGCGGGGAACTTGCTCGGCGAGGCGGCGGCGTAGTCGAATTTGCCTTTAGAGGGGAAGGGGGCGTTAGTGTGGATATGCGGAGGGTGAGAGAGGAGGATGGGGAGGGCGAAGGCGCGGGTTTAAGGAGGGGAGGGGTGGAGGAGGGGTGGGTGAGGAAAGTAACGGGGCAAGGGACGTGTGCTAGACACGCCCCGTCAAACGACACGATACGACACCACACATGCGGACGGACGTGAACGAGCGTGACGAGGACATGCGACGACCGGCGGAGGGAACCGCCAAAACCAGTGAGACAAACGAGTGAAGGGATGGGTAGACAGACGCCGAAACGCAGAACGGACGCAAAAACGAGGATAGAAGATGTGAAGAGAAGAAAAAACACGCACCTCCATCAACGATAACCCCGCCAATCGTGGTCCCATGCCCGCCGATCCACTTGGTCGCGCTCGCGACGACGATGTCCGCGCCGAGATCGAGCGGGCGCGCGAGCCAGCCGCCCATGCCGAAGGTGTTGTCGACGACGAGCGGGATGTGGTGGGCGTGTGCGACCTGTTGGCGAAAGAATAGGTGTAAGTATGTAAGTATGTGAGAGAGGGGGGGAGGAGAGGACGCGATGCGCGCGGCTGGGGGAGAAAAATCTCCCCCATGCATACTGGGCCACAGATCAAGCACTGGGGCCACCCAGCCCGCCCCAAACGCGAATACGAGCCACCGTCGCCCGCAGTCGCTTGCGGATTCACGAGGGCTGGTACCGCCCAAACCACCCAAACACGCTCCATACACCTTGTTAGCTCGAGACCACGCCCAAAACGCAAGCCGAGGCCCTTCCCACCCTCCCCCCCCTTCCACAAAAACACATGACAAAAAAACGCACCTCCGCCAACCCCTTCACATCCGCGACGCTGAAATTCGAGTTGGCGATGACCTCGACGTAGACGGCGCGCGTGCGCTCGTCGATTACGGAGGCGAATGCGGCTGGGGGAGGAGGTTAGTTTTCACTCATCTCAGACTTGGGTGGGTAGAGTGAAGGAGGATTTTTTTGGGAGGAGGGAAAGAAGGGAGGGAGGAGAGGGAGGCCGGGAAAGGGAGATGGGATGGGGAGGAAGACAATCGCGTATGTAGATATGTAGGCCAGGACGGGGCGGAGGACACGGGCCGCGGGTCGCGAATCGACCGGACAAGGGGGAAGGGGAGAGGACCAAAAGTACACGAATGGGGTACTAGGGAGAGACATAACGGAGGAAGTGTGTGCAGGAACGGGTAGAGCACAGAAAAGAGAGAGCGGGAGTAGAGTAAGCGAGTAAGCAAGGAAGTGAAAAAAAAACCACAAAAAAAAAACGCACGCACCCGGATCCGTACTATCCACAAACCGCGTCGTGATCCCGAACTTGCGGAAGCTCACTTTGAGCTGGTTGAAGGTCTACCACGAGCGTTGTCAGCTCCTTGTACAATGAGAAATAATAGGCTCCGTATGTAATACTAAGAACGGACAGCAGAGGTGGAGAAAGGATAGAAGCAAAATAAACACAAAAACTCACCCCACCATACAAATGCGCCGACGCGACGATATTGTCGCCCGACTCCGCGAGGGCCGTGAGCGCAAGCAGCTGCGCCGACTGCCCGGACGCGGTCGCAACGGCCGCGACGCCGCCCTCCAGTGCTGCTACGCGCTTCTCGAATACGTCCTGTTTGTTCCCGAATCAGCTTGACGTCTTGCATGATACGACAACGCGCGGGACGAAACGCATGAGAGCGGGACCAAACGCCGCTACTGATAACGAGGAATGATATAACGCACAACAGTCGGATTCCCAATCCTCGAATATATATTCCCAAAATCCCGCAGCGCAAACAGATCCGCGCCGTGCGCCGAGTTGTCGAACACGAAGCTCGCGGAGGAGTAGATGGGGACGGCGCGCGCGTTCGTAGCGGTGTCGGGCGCCTGGCCGGCGTGCAGCTGGAGCGTGTCGAAGGCGGGGGGTTTGTAGAAGTTGCTCATGGCCGGTTAAGGGCTTCGGTAGTGGATACGCCGTATAGCGATAGGGGAGCGTCGGTGGGGTGTAACGTCCGTGGATAGGGCAAGGAGCCGGAGGTGGATTCGAGCAAGAGCAGCGCTAATCGGATATGGCGTTTTTATGGGAAGGGACGAGATGAGTGACTCGCTCCAGAAATAACGCAATTGTGGTGTGATCGCGATGGTGCAGAAAAGTCGAATCGGTCCCGTTTGGGATTGGGTTCGGGTTCGGCCGACGAGTCAGTTGAGCGCGGGCGAGCTTGAAGAAAGTAAGGCTGAATGCGAGTTTGAAGCCTTTGTGAAGCCTTGGAGATTTTATATCGGGCTAATATCGAGTCCGGTCTGGACCTCAAGGTCGCAGAAGTAGGTGAAGTTCTAATACGTGGGCGTGGGCAGTATGAGGATAGTGCGGCCATTAGTGGCTTCCGCTTCCGCTCAGTGGATTCTGGAAGCGGAACCGACCTTCAGCGATGCATATATAAGGTTTCTGGAAAGGGGACGCACCATAATTGTATAAGAGGAGGCATTATTTCTCTTCTCTTCCCTATTTCCCTTCTCTTCTTTTCTTATTTCTCGACAATACTTCGACTCGGGGTCGAATTATCTTCCTCTTTCCGCGCGGCGGCATATGCGTGTACTGTTGAACGAAGGAGGACTTCATATCTTGCCTCTAGAAATACCGTCAGCCTGGCCGAAAACAGAGAACCGCTGTATCGCACCTTAGCAAACATCTCCCATCTCCCTTTCTCCAGTTTCCCACTCCTGACTTTAGACCCTGGTGGGCGCCCGCGACTGCATTCCAGCCTAGGCTCCAACAAGAATCCAGCTCGAGCTCGTGCGGCGCGGTGACCTTGCAGTGAAGGCCGACATCCTTCCTCCCGACTTCACTGAGTAATGTGTTAACCCTATTTCTAGGAAACGAGGGCACCAGAAGAAGAGAACCAATTGACTCATTCGTGCCACCTTCTTATACACCTTCCCGGCAGACCAGCCCAGCCCCGGAGACTTCACCGAGGTCTGAGTAATGGGAGCATCATGCCCGAAACGCCGTTTGAAAGCGCATCGAAAGCAAGACGTGAGCCCCGGTGTGGGTATACGCGCTGTACCGCAGTGCAGGTTTGCAGCAGGAGAAGAGAGAGCTCTCAGCTGAGCATGGCATCGGGAATTATTTGGGAGAAGTGGGGAAAGAGCAACACGGTCACATGATGGGACACACAACGTCAATCAAACTCGGCGATCAGGCGTCAATGTGCATTTCGAGAAGGCGGGGAACGACTTTACCCACTTTTCATAAGAAAGTTATTCACACGTTCAAAGCCATTGAAGTTGAATCGCGTTTCACATTTCAAATATGCGCGCCTCCTTTCTTTAAAAAAAATATTTACCAGAATGTCTCCGACCTCATCAGAGTTCACAAGGAAGAGAGGAAGGCTTAGTGGCGGGAGGTCCGCGTCCACATCAAGCGAATCTTAGTGCTTTAGCATTACTATGTGGGTGTCGCTCGTTCGACTCGTCGAGCCTGGGCCATGGCAGTTGAAGATGCAATTTTGGTTCTGTGCTTGCTTGGTTGATCATGGACCGTTTAACGACTTTTTGCTTCGGCGTCTAAATAGAGATTCCCAGCCTAGCCAGGCTCAGAAGAAGGAGATGAAGAGCCTGGTGGCGGGAGGTCGGCACTCACTGTACTTAAGATGATTCCTCTGAATCAAATACCCGTTTCCGTAGGAGCCGCTCGTTCGATTCGATCCCAGGCCATTAGGCGTGTTTGCCGTTGATACTGTACGTTCTGCGCTCAGGGATGGATGTTGGCTTCAAAGCGCGAGTCGCGATTCAAAAGTTCAAATATGCGCATTGCCTCTCTTTCCCCAGAAAAATTACACCACCATCCCAAGAATGTCGCCGAGCTCATGCATGTTCAAAAGGAACAGAGAGAGGCCCGGTAGCGGGAGGTCCGCGCCCACGCTAAGTAAGGGACGACCGAGACATGACGTGGGAGCCGCTTGTTCGATTCGAGCCTGGGTCATATGGAGTGTCTCTGATGAATTTTTTTTTTGTCTCGTAAAAGTTTGAGTTGCAGTCGCTTTCCGCAGCAGCCATTACCTCAGAGCTCTTCGGATATTTCACGATTTTTTCTGAGCAGCACCGATTTTGTGTTCCGACCTTTTCACCTTTGCTCAGGTTGGAGACACGTAGTGTGCATCTACATTTCATCCCGCTAAATAAATATCAATCTAGCCAGATTCACAGGAACGAGAGAAAGGCCCGGTGGCGGAAGGTCCGCGTCAACGCTGCATATCTTGAGAATGATGTGTGATTCGCTCGTTCGACTCGAGCCCGGGCCATTGAATCGAAGTATGTTTTTTGATTTGTTGGTTATTGATACAGGAATGAAAAAAAGAAAGAGAAAAAAATCCAGTAGCGGTACGAAGTGCTTACCACCGACTATTGCTTCGAGTCGAGGCCATCGAACCGAAGCGAGGTTTTTCTTCTTTTTTGAGGTTGGTTGGTTGGTGCTATAGGAATCAACAAAATTCCATTGTTGTTCAACTTTCCACCTTCTTTCACATCCCACAGACAGAACTTGTGGTTTCGAACGAATAAATGCCCACATAACCAAGTTCACAAGAAGGAAAGAAAGGCCCGGTGGCAGGAGGTCTGCACCCGCGTGCAGTCGCTCGTCCGACTCGCCGGGCCATGAGTCTTGTGTGCGACCTGATCTTTACTTTTTATGCTGATCTAGATCTATGGAGCTTCGCATTAACTACGCGAAGCTCTCACATTTTTTCTTGGGAAACAGAACCAATTTCACCTCCCAAATCACAGCGATTTTGTGGCTCAACTTTCCACCCTTAGACTGTTTCGGCTCACACTGCACAGAGTGAACAAGGCTGGAATTATCAAGTAAACCCAGCCAGGTTAACAATTATGTAACAAGGAGAGAAATGCCCAGTGGCGGGAGGTCCGCACCCACACAATCGAGAACGATCGTCGATGTGAGAGTTGCTCGTTTGACTCGAGCCTGGGTCATAACAAGGTCGGTCCGGATTTTTTTTATAGGGTTGCTGGGTGGTATAAATTCCAGTTGGGTTTAAACTTTACTATCCGCTCCGTGCATTTCTACTGTCAGCTTAAATTTGGCAGCATAGAGTTTCGACATTGTGGTTGAACCTCGATAACTTTTTTCGTAAGGGTCACACAAGGGTCGCAGATGAAAATGATTTATCTGGATAATGCCAGCCTGGGCAGGCTCAAAACAAGGAGTAAAAGGCCCGGTGGCGGGAGGTCCGCGTCCACGCTGCATCTAATAAAAATGATTTACATGCATGTGGGAGAGGCTCGTTCGATTCTAGCTCGGGGCCATGTAGCCTGTTTGATGAGCTTTTTTTCTTTCATTGACGAAAATTATGGTGTCCCAATGGCTTCAGAAAGCTCCTCCCACTATAAGGTCAGCCCTATAAAATTTTGTCCTTGTGGTTGAACATTGAACCTTCACTTTGTGCAGTGTTTAAAAAGGATTTGCATGTTCGAATAAATGCCAACCTGACCAGGTTCACAACAATGATTGAAAGGAAAGGGCCGGTGGCGGGAGGTCCGCATCCACAATACTTGCAGCCTGACCACTCGAATACAATCCTTGTGGGAGAAGCTCGTTCGATTCGAGCCCGGCCCATGAACCTGTAATGTTTTTCCTCCAGGTGGCAGTAGGCATGGAAATCCAGCCGCTTCGCATGGCTCTTATCGATATCTTATCACTGCTTCGTGCACTCTCCCAATCTCCACTGTAAGTTCGGCATCATGAGATGTTGTCCTGGTGGTTGAACTTTCACCACCTTCGGAGGTTGCATCAGACAGAATATATACCTGCGAATGTATGACAGCCTTGCCAGGTCCCAACAAGGAGACAAGGGCCCGGTGGCGGGAGGTCCGTACCCACGCTGCATAGACCTGAGGATTCGATGCTTTATGTGAGTCGCTCGTTCGATCCGGACCTGGTCATATCCGATCGTGCATGATGCTTTTTGTCTCTTGGTAGGATAAGATATCCCAGTCGGCTCTTGATACCGCTTCTCTCTATGTTTTCAAGGGAGTGAATCCTCGCTTTGCACAAGTCAAGGAAGAATAGAACGTCACTCGCTGTTGAATGTTGAACTTGTCGAAGGCAATTTGAAGTGGAACAAGGCGGGGATTCACCGGATCAATTTACACAACCGTGGGAAGTTCCTGGATGGTTTGAGAAGTATCCGTCTTTCCGCGCTCCTACGCCGATCACTGTATTGAGCAAATAAGCGAGGATAGAAAAGAAGATGATCATAATTGTGCTAAACTACGAGTCCTTATATACATGTTGGATAACTAGTCTAGAATGTTCTCTACTGTTCAGGCAGTCTCTCCGGGATCATAGTGGTGTCGCACTACGTCAGGGATATTCCCGCAACACTCCCCCTCGACGCCACGACCGATCCAAAAATTTTGGTACGCAGTGATTCGAACTTAGGCCGCGGAAGTGCTTTTGTGAGTATGTCAGCTAAGTTATCCTCGCTTGCGCAGTGGATCAGCCTGATCTCGTTAGAGATCAATCGCTCGCGGACAAAGTGGTGACGAATGTCGATGTGTTTTGAGCGAGCATGGAAAACTGGGTTATCGGCGAATTTAATGGCAGATTGATTATCGACGTTGATTGATGTGGGTTGAGAAGTGTCAAGACCGAGCTCGGAGGCTAATTGGCGAAGCCAAATTACCTCGCGGGTTGTATTTGCTAGCGCCATATATTCAGCTTCCATGGTAGATAGAGCAACAGTTAACTGTTTGCGTGAACTCCATGAAACGGCGGCACCGGCAAATAATGTGATGTATCCGGATACGGAGCGTCGGTCCGAAGTTTCTCCAGCCCAATCTGCGTCTGAATAGACACTGAGGTCATCAGACTGGTTGTAATGAAGAGCCAGTTTAGTGGTGCCTTTGAGGTAGCGAAAGACACGCTTCAACGCGGTCATATGCTCTTCGGCTGGTGATTGTGAGAATTGGGCCAGATACGCGACGGGGTGAGCGAGATCAGGTCGCGTGGCCACAGCTAGGTACATGAGCTTGCCAAGACCCGAAAGATACTTCTTTCGGAAACTATCATCGCCGATACGAATGTCGCCAGGTTCCAATTTTTGAAGTCGGACGTTGGGATCAATCGGGGTGTGAACGGGGTTACAATCTCGCATGCCGAATTGTTCGAGGATGTTAAGAGAATAGTTGTGTTGCGAGAGTCGAAGAGAGTGCGTTTTGGGATCACGGGAGACTTCCATGCCCAAAATTTGAGAGATCTCTCCAAGGTCAGTGACATTGAACAGTTGAGAGAGCTCCCCCTTGATCTGGGCAATGTCAGAGTCGGTGGGTGCAAAAAGGGTCATATCATCGACATGAACAGCAACAATGGTTGGCTGTGCGTCGAGTGAGTCGCGTCTAACGTAAACACATTGATCTGCAATGAGGCGCTTGAAACCCAGCTTCTCAAATGCTGAGTTGAGCTTTTGGTTCCAAACACGGCCAGATTGTTTGAGGCCATAAAGAGAAAGGTTGAGTTTGCACACTCGGCCAGTACCGTCATTGAAACCGGCAGGCTGTTCCATGTAAACTTCTTCTTCAAGTTCGCCGTTGAGATATGCAGCTACGACGTCCATGCCATGTATTTTGAGGTCATAGCGGGTGGCGAGGGCAAGCAGGAAGCGAAAGGTTTCCAGCCTAATAGTTGGAGCGAAGGTTTGATTATAGTCCAGGCCTTGGATCTGGAATAATCCTTTGGCTACAAGACGTGCCTTCCACTTGGCAATGCGGCGGAGGATGTCACGTTTCCGACGAAAAACCCATCTGCATGGAATGGCCTTTCTACCGGGAGGAAGATGCATTTTTGTCCAAGTGCCGAGGGATTCAAGTTGATTGATTTCGGACTGCATTGCCTCACGCCATTTATCCTGGTCAGGACTAGCAAGAGCTTCTTTGAGTGACACAGGGTCATTCTCAAGTTCGCTCTCAATGGCTTCGGTGAGAAAAGCGTAATCGCTGGTGGTTATATGTGCGCGAGTGCGCTTGCCTTCAATGATGTTGTCGGTGCTGATTTTGCTGCTGATGTCTTTAGGGGCCTTCTCATGGGACGTTGAAGGTGCAGAAGGCACAGGAGTATTGAATCGCGAGGGTAAGGGTGTAATAGGGGATGAGGGCTCACCCTCAGAGTCCGAATCAATGACAGGAGGCGGATTGCGATAAGCAGAAGTGGTTGGTTGATTCTGTGAAGTGCCATCCTGCTGCTTGTCCTTAGCCTCTTTCTCCCCCTCAAGCGAAGGAGGGAACGGAGCAGGTTTGAAATCATAGTCATCCTGACTTGAAGGCTCCTCGAAAGTAACATTCCGAGAAGACTGTACCAATCGAGAGCCGGAATTGTAGTATCGAAAGGCCCGGGTATGCTCGGAAAATCCGAGAAATTGGAAACGCCGTGCCTTAGGCATTAGCTTATGGTATTTTGTGTCCTGATGAAGGACCCATAGATGCGCTCCGAATGGCTGTAATGAGGCTATATTCGGTTTGCGCTTCCAAAATGCCTCGTGCGGAGTAATGTTCCGTTGTTCCAGGGCGCGGACAGGTGAACGGTTCTTGATGTAACAAGCGTGTGCAACAGCTTCAGGCCAAAGATAGAGTGGAAGCTTTGCGGCGAAAATCATGGAACGGGCATAGCCCAGAAGTGTTCGATTTAGTCGTTCGGCTACGCCGTTCTGTGAGGATGAGTATGGCGCCGTGATTTCCCAATTAATTCCCTGTGACTCAAGCCAGCTAAGAACTTCGTCGTTGACATATTCTTTGCCCCCGTCGAAGCGGAAGCAACGGGGTTTGCGGCCAGTCTGGGTCACTATGAATGCGACATAGTTTTGTATCGCAATGAGGACAGTCTTGCCCTTCTTGTTCTTTAGAAACTTGAGTCGGGAATGGGATGTGGCGGCATCAGTAAATGAAATGAAGTAATGTTCGCCACCAATGCCGCGGATGCGTGACGGTCCCCAAAGGTCTGTGTAAACCATGTCACCGATTTCAGTGTATTCGCGCTGCGCTTCTTTCGGAAAGGATTTGACATGAGCTTTTCCTTCCAAGCATCGAGTACATTGGTGAGGTTTAGAAGTTTCATCAACTTCCATACCATCAACCATCCCGGACCGTTTGAGTTTTTCAACGGCGCGGTGGCTCATGTGGCCGAGAGTGCGATGCCAAGCATCCCATGAACGCGCTGAATGCGCGAGGGTTTGTTGTGAAGGCGCGCGAACACGAAGTCTATACATGTGCGAGATTTTATCGCCCATAGCAAGGA